CCGCAGGGCATGGGGTTGAGCTGGCCCCCCTACTCAAACACCCACCATCGATCCCCAACTTCGCCCCCAACAGCGGGCGGACCTGCGATGGGAGGCCCAAATCGTTCGCGGCCTCCACGGCCCCAGTCCAATTGCTACGGGAAAGAACTTTCACGTTCTTGGGGAACAGGGCTGATATGCCGACGGTCCGCATCAAACCAACAGTCTCCCAGGGACCCTTGCAGCAACCGCGGCAATAATGCTCGAACACACCAGGCTTCCTCCAATCACCGTTGAACAGCTTCGATATGATTGTCATTCGCATTGCATATTTGGGGGTCTTGGGCGGGCAGAATAACTCCAAACATCGTTTGCGGTGCATGTCGGCCTCCACCGTTGGAAACCCGCCACTGATGATCTGAACTTGCTCACTCACCATGTGGCGCGCATGTCTGCGTAACTTTTGCATATTACCGCTGCGCAGGGCCAGTGCCATGCGAATCATCTTGGTATCAATGCCGCCAGGAGTGAGAACATTGCTTTCGGGACGGCTTCGATTTTATGGGCATCGCAAGGGATCTCGAGAAACCGAGTGTGTTGGTTTGACAATCGCTCAGCTCTCTCTGCACGGCGATTCGCCGAGTGCTCATCTCGCATTGATACCTGCACAACCCTGGGAAACACAGCGTCAATCTCTGAGTCCACATTCGCATCCAGACGAGCGTCATCCAAACATGTTGTTTTTGTCTCACCAGTGGTTCGGTCCACAACGCGAAGTCGCGCGGGGACCCGTGCCTTCAATATTATATATTGGTCGGGGTGGCCCTCTCGAATTTTCCGCAGTGCGTAGGCGAAACCGCTTTCGACAACCATGAGCTCATGTTTTCCTATGTTCTCGACGGTGCCATCTACACGTTCCCAAAATGTTATCTCGTCAACGTCTTTCTTAAACTGAACTTTGAGTCGAGATTGTGTGCCATCATATTTTCTATGTCGTACGAATGCTACCGGCTCGATTCTAGCGGCGTGCTCATGGCGGGCCGCGCAAGCTGCAACTGCAAATCTGCACATCCGCTCGCACGCACTCCTGAACAGCTTGAAATGTTCAACACTGGTGGCCGCCAGGTATGATCTGAAACGCCCTGCGCTCACTCCAACCTGTTTGGCGACAGTTGCGTGGGAAGCCAGCGTGCGACCAACGTCGCTCTCACATTTGATTGTGCCGAGCATCTCATGTAACAACTTCCGAACGGCAGGCCTCTGCTTCTCCCTTGTCCTGGCTAAAAGGTGCGCCCCCATCCTGCCCCTGCACCAACAATATGGCGACAGCGTCGGCCCCCTCGGGGCGCGGCGCAGGGGCAGCGTCATGGATCGCTGCCAGGACTGCCAACTCTTGACCTTCAACCTCCTCTGGGCGAAACTCAACGCGTGGGAGGCCCGACCAGTCTTCCTCTGAATCTGCCTGCTCGGCGGCAAGGCCGCCGAGAGGCAATAGGGCCAACTCGTCACTGCCAGCGGGGCGAGAATCTACAGATATTGCAACCCAGTCATCTTCAGACTCGGACATGCGCGACCCGCAAGAATTCACGTGGGCGATTGGACAAAAACGGGCACGGACGCAAGAGAGCTGGAGACAAAGGCGGAAAGAAGATTGAAGCAGAGGGGGGAGAAGGAGGATAATGGAGGAGAACGTGCAAATAACCGAAGTGAGTAGATGGCAAAAGTGAGGAGGACAACTAGGGAGGATCAAACAAATATGGGTGACAAGTGAGGGGCGGCCATAAGGGGTATCAATATGTGCTGGTGCGCACCCTGACCCCCCACACTGATTCGAGGCCTCGCCCTGGCGGGAACCGACCAGTGAGGAAGCCTAAGTGCAAGCGCTATTTGAGGAATGACGTCGTGACGCGCATAATTGGGGTACCTTGAACGCCCTCCCCCCTCCCCTCCTGTATTCTGTTCTGCTCACTCCCCCTTCCCCATCCACCCCGCATCCTCCCTTTTTCGCTTTCCTCATCTTGATGACAGGCGCAATGTCCACGCGGCGCTTGTCGCAGACGTCGTCGCGGGCGGGTCAGCCAAGTCAAGCAGGGCACGTAACAACGCCGCCCCCGCACTTGCGGATAAGGGCAACGGCTGCGAACTCAGATGGCATGCCAAACCCATGCCCTTTGCCAGCGCGACTTGGAAGTTGCAGGGCCCAGGGCCATGAAAGCATATGCGCCCTGCGCTCGACACAGGAAAGCCGCGCCCAAATCTGCTACGCGGGGCCTGAGCAGTCTCGCGACAGCACATGCCATCGCAAATGAACGCGATGATACATGCACAGTATTTGCTTTGTTTTCGGAGCGGCGACGCCGCCAGATACCCCATGAAAATGCGATGCCCAACCATTCGACCCCCGCGGCGCGCCCATGAAAGTAGGACCTCGGGGCCCTCGGCGTCGGCGCCTCCCCCAACGAGCTTGGACCTCGCCCCCCCCCCCAAAGAAAGGCCATCAAAATCCATGAACGCAGCATGGCCCCCTTACGCAGGCCCGAAATTCTCAATAGTAGGGTCAAAAGAACATCATGACGCCCCAGGGGGGTCTGGGCGCGATCCGGGGGAGGATGCCGGGGAACTCGTTTTAAGCAAACAGTAACGCACTTCGTGGTCTTCGAGTTCCCAGAACTCCATTCCTGGGCATGATCTTGAATGCCCGGAGCCAACTGTAGGCCACTTCGTGTTCTTCGTGTTCCCAGAACACCATTCCTGGGCCACATTTTCAATGCCCGGAGCCAACTGTAGGCCACTTCGTGTTCTTCGTGTCCCCAGAACACCATCACCGGGCCACATTTTCAATGCCCGGAGCCAACTGTAGACCACTTCGTGTTCTACGTGTTCCCAGAACACCATTACCGGGCCACATTTTGAATGCCAGGAGCCAACTGTAGGCCACTTCGTGTTCTTCGTGTTCCCAGAACACCATTCCTGGGCATGATTTTGAATGCCTGGAGCGAACTGTAGGCCACTGGGTGGTCTTCGAGTTCCCAAAACTCCATTCCTGGGCATGATTTTGAATGCCCGGAGCCAACTGTAGGCCACTTCGTGTTCTTCGAGTTCCCAGAACTCCATTCCCGGGCCACATTTTGAATGCTGAGGCAGGCTGATGCTGAGGCTGAGGCAGGCTGAGGCTGAGGCAGGCTGAGGCTGAGGCCGAGGCTGAAGGCAGACTGAGGCTGAGGCTGAAGCAGGCTGAGGCTGAGGCTGAGGCAGGCTGAGGCTGAGGCTGAGGCAGGCTGATGCTGAGGCAGGCTGAGGCTGAGGCTGAGGCTGATGCAGGCTGAGGCTGAGGCAGGCTGAGGCCGAGGCCGAAGGCTGAAGGCAGGCTGAGGCTGAGGCTGATGCAGGCTGAGGCTGAGGCAGGCTGAGGCTGAGGCTGAGGCAGGCTGATGCTGAGGCAGGCTGAGGCTGAGGCTGAGGCTGATGCAGGCTGAGGCTGAGGCAGGCTGAGGCTGAGCCCGAGGCTGAAGGCAGACTGAGGCTGAGGCTGAAGCAGGCTGAGGCTGAGGCTGAGGCAGGCTGAGGCTGAGGCTGAGGCAGGCTGATGCTGAGGCAGGCTGAGGCTGAGGCTGAGGCTGATGCAGGCTGAGGCTGAGGCAGGCTGAGGCTGAGGCCGAGGCTGAAGGCAGACTGAGGCTGAGGCTGAAGCAGGCTGAGGCTGAGGCTGAGGCTGAGGCTGAGGCTGAGGCTGATGGAGGCAGGCTGAGGCTGAGGCTGAGGCTGATGCAGGCTGAGGCTGAGGCAGGCTGAGGCTGAGCTGAGGCTGAGCTGAGGCAGAGGCTGAGGCTGAGGCTGAAGGCTGAGGCTGAGGCTGAGGCAGGCTGATGCTGAGGCTGAGGCTGAGGCTGAGGCTGATGCAGGCTGAGGCTGAGGCAGGCTGAGGCTGAGGCTGAAGGCTGACTGAGGCTGAGGCTGAGGCTGAGGCAGGCTGAGGCTGAGGCTGAGGCTGAGGCTGAGGGCTGAGGCTGAGGCTGAGGCAGGCTGAGGCTGAGGCTGAGGCAGGCTGATGCTGAGGCAGGCTGAGGCTGAGGCTGAGGCTGATGCAGGCTGAGGCTGAGGCAGGCTGAGGCTGAGGCCGAGGCTGAAGGCAGACTGAGGCTGAGGCTGAAGCAGGCTGAGGCTGAGGCTGAGGCAGGCTGAGGCTGAGGCTGAGGCAGGCTGATGCTGAGGCAGGCTGAGGCTGAGGCTGAGGCTGATGCAGGCTGAGGCTGAGGCAGGCTGAGGCTGAGGCCGAGGCTGAAGGCAGACTGAGGCTGAGGCTGAAGCAGGCTGAGGCTGAGGCTGAGGCAGGCTGAGGCTGAGGCTGAGGCAGGCTGATGCTGAGGCAGGCTGAGGCTGAGGCTGAGGCTGATGCAGGCTGAGGCTGAGGCAGGCTGAGGCTGAGGCCGAGGCCGAAGGCAGACTGAGGCTGAGGCTGAAGCAGGCTGAGGCTGAGGCAGGCAGAGGCAGGCTGAGGCTGAGGCTGAGGCAGGCTGATGCTGAGGCAGGCTGAGGCTGAGGCTGAGGCTGATGCAGGCTGAGGCTGGGCTGAGTCTGAGGCCGAGGCTGAAGGCAGACTGATGCTGAGGCTGAAGCAGGCTGAGGCTGAGGCAGGCTGAGGCAGAGGCTGAGGCAGGCTGAGGCTGTGATTGCGACTGCCGTTGCCACTGCGACTATCATCGCGAATGCGACTACGACTGCGAGAACAGCAGAATTCTACAACTGGATTATCATCTGAATCTTAACGGGAATGCTTCCAAATATGCTCCTACACACCGCTGGTAGGTTGCTTTGCCGGGATAAATTCCTCCCCCCGAAGACACGGAAAACCTCTCAAAGGCTGGAGGCTTCTGGGAAGCCCGGCCGCCTTCTCAGAGGGCCTTTTCCTTCTGACTCCCCCCCTCGCTCACCGCCCCTCGCCAAGCCAGGAGGGTGTAATCCCATGCGCCAAATCCTCGGCCCATGCTGGGCCTGGCCAAGATCGGCGCAGGCGTACCTGGTCAGCCGGCGCCCTCCGAGACGAGCCGCCGGTCTCCGAGCACGTCCAGCCCGAGCAGGACGGCGGGCCTCTGGTCGCCGATGAGGCCCTCGGGAGCGGGGAGACGCGGACTACGACGACGCCAGGCCGAAGACAAGTTCGGGTGAGGATGAACCAATGGGCTCTGGAAGACGTCGTGGGCGCCGCGGCTTTCTCAAAGCGTCCTGGAACTCTCTGAGAGCGTTCCGGAACGCTCCCGAAAGGATGCTGACATCCTCGCGTTGTGGCAAAAACTGCGGTTTGTCATTCTTGCTACCAATCGTCGGCGCTGGCGACGGGGTTTTCTCCTCCGCGCGCGCGTTCGGTCGGTCGTTCCGCGCCCCCCCCCCCCGGCAAGTTCCTTCTCTTTTCCCTCCGCTCTCAAGTCCGCTCTCACAAGAACCGTCCTCGTCCTCGCCTCGTCCGACAAACCCTGACATCCCCGAGTCGTGGCAAAAACTGCCGGTCGGCTTCCGACAGATACTTCGCCGGCTCCCATGGCCGCCCGCCCCTGGGGTGGGGGGCGGTGCCTCTGGGGAGCCACGTTAGGAAAGATGCGCGGAGTCGGACGTCCGCGGAAAGGGGTGGCGGGAGGGGGGTGGCGAACGGTGGAGCAAGGCAGGGGGGGGCGAGGCGGCGGCGGCGAAGCGGGAACGGGCCAAATCGAACGAAGCTCCGACAGTGCCACAATCGGAAAAATTCGAATTGTGTGACCAACCGCGCGCAGTAATGCACCACGAGCTGTGGCCCCCACGGTGGGGACCCGATCGATTCGTCGCCCAACCAAGGCTCAACTACAGTAAGAGTTATTATTCATTCGGGCCACGACGGCCTCCAGAGGCCAGGACAAACCAGGGTCCCCAAACAACAAACCACCTGGAGTGTCCGCCCGTGGCCATTCTGACAAGTTCTTTGAAACTGTACTGGCGGGGCGGCACAGGAGGAGGAGAAGGAGGACGGAGGGGGGGCCGGAGGTAGATCCCTCAACCACATTTAGTCTCTACACTAACGCCGATGTGTGGAGCAGGGTAGAGCCCGCAACCGCATTCAGACTTGAAGCCGACGCCGATGCGGAGCAGGAGCCCTCAACAACATTCAACGTAGAAAAACGGGCGCCACCAGCGCCTCTAGAAGCCACGTCGTCACCAAAAACTGCCCCCGCATAGCCCTCAACCACACTCGTGGAAGACAGGGCGACCCCAGCGCCGCCAGAAGCCACGTCGTCACCAAAACGTGTTCTGCGGGCTATCGGCCTTTGCGAATTCCGATCGCATTCAGTTCATGCCGCTCCCGCTGCGCGGGGCGCCGTCGGCTGCCACTGGCAGCGGCCCTGGGCGGGTTGCCACCCGGAGTGTGCGGCCCGAATGTCACCCCGAGTGCGCGACCCGAGCGCTGCCCCGATTGCGCAGCCCGAGCCCTTCCAGACCCGCCCTCAGCCACGCCATCCTCGAACCAATCTATAGTGAGCTGTCCTCGAAATCGTCGATCGCCAGCTGCAAGATCCCCAGCGCGTTCGACCTCGGGGCGACGCCTGATCTCACTTTTCCCCCGAGCTGGACCACGCAATCCGCGAAGATGCGCGTCAGCTCCGCATCGGCCAGGGCGCGCGTCAGCTTCGCGCTGCCTTCTTTGTAGCATGCTGCCTCGCGCCCCAGCAGCTCGTCGAACCCGGCGTCCTCCACGAGTGCGGGAGGCAGCCGCTGACGCAGATCGGCCTCGGGAACATTCGGCGGCGCGCTTCGAAAAAAGGCCCCCCCCCCCAACATTCGGCGCCGTCGATCAGAACCAGGGGGCCCCCCTCCCCCCCACCCCCCGACCCCCTCCCGAACCGCCCTAACACCCCCCCCAGGCGCCGGCGCCAGCGGCGGCGGCCGCCAGCAGCGCCGACGGCGGGGGCGAAGCGACGATGACCAGAGGCAGCCAAAGGGGGGGAGTCCAACCACCCACCCCCCCGGCGCCCGCCCCGGCGTCGGCGGCGGCGGCGGCCGGCAGAGCCGACGGCGGGGGCGCAGCGACGATTGCCACCGCTACCACTACCACCACTACCACCACTACCACCACTACCACCACCACCACCACCACCTCAACCCGCCACCACCACCACCACCAACCCACCGCACAACCACCACGCGACCACCACCAGAGCCACCACCACCACCACCACAACCACCACTACCACAACCCACCACCACCACAGGAACCAACCACCACTACCACCACCACCACAATGTACCACACCACCACCGCCACCACAGCCACAACCATCACCACTACCAGCAGCACGACCCACCACCATCACCACAAACCACCACACCACACCACAAACCACCACCACACCACCAAACCACCACCACCACCACCACCACCACAAACCACCACCAACCGCCACCGCAACCACCACCACCGCCACCACAAAAAACCACCGCGCTACAACCGCCACGCCACCACCACCACCGCCACCACCACCGCCGCGCCACCACCATAACCGCCACCACCACCACCACAACCGCCACCGCCGCAACAAACCACCACCACCGCCACAGCCACAACCACCACGACCACGACAACCCACCACACCACCACAACCATACATCCCTACCATAACCACCACGACAAGCCACCGCACCACCACCGCCGCCGCCACCGCCACCTTAACCCACCACCGCCACAACTACCACCACCGCCACCACCAGAAACCAGCGCACCGCCGCCACCGCCACCATCATCACCACTACCAGACCCTGCCACCGCAACCACCACAACAACCACCGCCACCACCAGCCACACCACCACCACCACCGCCACCACCGCCAACGCCAGCGCCACCACCACAGCCACCACCACCACAGCCACCGCCAGCGCCACCACCACCACCACCTCAGAGAGGCCCCAACAGACGCCAAAGAGGCGCCCGGGAGGCTGCGCAAATGCCCGTCAGAGGCCCCCGAGAGCCCTCCGACGAGAGCACGAGAGGCACCCATTAGGACTCTGACCCAGGGCACAGTGGCGGAGCGTCGTCGTCGTGGTCATCGCTGTCGCCGTCGTCCTCGTCGACGCCCCCCGCCGCAACCGCCAGCCGTCGCAGGCGCCCGCGCTGGCCCTGAAGAGGTAGTCGTCGCCCCCGCCGCCGCCGCCAGCCGCCGCCGACGCAGGCGCCGGCCCGAGGAGAAGGAGATGAAAGGAAGTAGGGGGGGCGGGAGGGGGGGCGGGGCTCGAACCTCCCCCTCCGTCACGGGAAGGGGCGGGGGGGTGGGGGGTTCGAACCCTCCCCCTCAGTGGGGGGGAGGGGGTCAGGTTCCAAACGCCCCCTCCCCTCCGGGCGACAGCAGACGGCGCTCGATCCGAGATCCTCATCCGCCCCGTCGCCCTTGCGAGCGCCCCCCCCCCCCCCGCGGCCGCCAAGTCCTCCCCGCAGACAGAACGTCGGGAAAGTGTCGCGGGCGTCGTCGCGATTCGCAGAGGGCTCAGTCTTCGAGCGCGCGCGCGGGAATCAAGGCGTCTGGGCGAGAATGGGCGCCGCTCTATCGCCTCGCGGCAGACAGCTCTTGGGGGGCGCCGATTGCGCGGGGCTGCTTCTGCCGCGCGCCAATGCGTGATGCGCCGCGCGCGGGAGCTCTGACGACTGCAGACGCGCTCACGCGCAACCGTCATGCTGCGCACGAAAGACGCGCTGACGGTCGCGACCTCCCGCCGAAGAGACGCGCTGACGCGCGAGAAGAGCCCCGCGCGTGACGAGCGCAAAATTGCACGCCGCGCCAGCGGAGTCCGCGAGGTCACATCCCCATATGGGCGCTGGAGGATCTGGAACCGCGGCGCCGTCAGGAGCATCCGAGCCAGCAGGCTCAGCAGGGCCGCGCATTCCAGGAGGCGGAGCGATGGCCACTGCACGCGCAGCAGCACGAAGTACCCCAGGATCTAACCGAAGAGAACGATCCCGAAGCACCTGGCCCATGAACAGCGCGCAGACACTGAACCTGAACCTCTCGTCGCCCGCGTCGAGCCATTAAGAGCCCCCCCTCCTCCTCTGGCCCCTTCGACAGCTTCACTACGTCGGCCACGGAACGTCTTGCGCACATGTGGGCGTCGGCTGCGAGGCATTCGCTGGGGGGGGGGGGGGGGGGGGGCAGGGCCCGCGGGGGGCTGACCGAACACCGATCCGACTTGATGAGCGTGGGAACTGGGGGAGATGAGCGACGTGCGATACATTCTAAGCTTCCGAACAGTCAGCCCAACCCCTGTAGGAACAACACACACGGCCCTGAACACAGCGTCATCCAAATGGGTCTTATACATGAGGACGGGCTGGCAATGTTCGTCTCTGACCGGGCCCCCATCCCCATTCAAAACCTCCGTCTTCTTGCACGCGCCACCCCGAAGTATTCGGCAAGCGAAACCGACCAGGACCCTGCCCAGGCGACGCTCCTGGGCAGTCGCGAGCACCAGCACTGTGAGACCAGACAACAGCGCCTCCTGGACGACGGCTCCAAAAACGGTTCGGGTGAATCGCCGCGCTCTGTGTTCCAGAGCCCCCCCCCATAAAGAAATAGCCCCGTCGGCAGGCCAATATTCTCCTGCGCAGCTCGCCCTGCCCCCGCCCCGTTCGCGCATGGCTGGGTACCCATCGCTACTTTGTCGAGCTGGATCTTGCCCTCGAGGGGGAGGCGGCCACTGGAGATGTCGGAAGCGTGCTGATGTGAGCTAGGGCCCACGAGCGAGGGCGCGACGCTACTTTTCTTCGCCTTGCGTGCCTGGCCGCTGCTGTCCAGCTCACCGCGCAGAAACCAATGGGCACGCGTGAGAGCGCGCTGCGCGTTGCGCGCCGACGTCGCACCGCGCGAGCGAGATGTGTCGTCCGCGAAAATGCCGCAAGAAAAATCAACGAGCCGCTGGAGAAGGGGCGCCCGCGCCGCGCACGAGGCCTCACTCGACCATATCACATAGTCTGGATCGTCGGGCGGAACAGGCGGCACCGATCTCTGAAATCCACTCGTCGCGCGACTGCGGCCGAGGTGGAGCAGGCGCGTCGCCCCGCGCAGCCTGGCGCAGCCGATCCATCCATCTCCGGATCGG